TGCCGAGCTCCTTGGCGAGCTCCTTGGTGAGTTGCCGAGCTCCTTGGCGAGCTCCTTGGAGAGCTGCCGAGCTCCTTGGCGAGCTCCTTGGTGAGCTCCTTAGTGAGCTGTTGTGAGGTGCCAGGGGTCATAATCCCATTTTTAGGGCCAAATCTGCCCTCATCAGGTCCAATTTAATGTATGAACCATCCAATCTATTCAAATTTGTTTAAGTCTGGTCCATTGACATCTATATATAGGGATGCAAACGAATCAACTCAGATTCTAATATGGGTATATTCGAATTCGATCCGACATTATTTATGTCAGATTTGACTTTATCGGATTTGATAGGACTCAATTTAAATTCAAACCATACCGGTAAGTTGAATCTTTGGATCTGATTTGATCTCACTTGTTTTTTTAAAACTTAATAAATTATTAAAAGAAAAATAAAATATACTGAAAAAATTAAAGTAAAAACAAAAAATACAAGTATTTTCATATATACATATTTTTAGAAAAAATAAATAATATAACAAATTTATAAAAATCTATATATATGAGGAGGGGCGATTTGGCCCGACCAGATAAATAGAGGACATGTGGACTTAGCCCACCAACTAGACGATGATTCAACACTACGGTCACCTCGGCGAGTCAAGTCACTTCAGGAGTCCCGATCACCTTGGATAGCACCGAGCTCTGGGCACCTCGGATGGCTAAGACTAACAAAGCGATGTGTAGTAGATTCTAGAAGATCATCAATTGTCTCTGAGCCCTCCGGGATCATGACCCGAAGCTATAGACCTTATCCTCATCCCGCTCGAATCGGATGGAGACGATAAGCACTATCAGCTAGCATGTTACCCACCTACCGGTGCAGAATGAACTCCTACTCACTCGGCCCGGAGATCTTGTAAAGGTTTTGTGAAGCCCACGGCAGCCCTGCTATGTAAAGGCACTAGCCCCCAAGATTCAGGTACGCGCGACTAAGTGCATTCTAGCCCTCTACTCTACTGATTTCCAACTCGCATCTACCTATTGAGCACTAACTTAAGCATCAGAGCGACCTCGCCGGGTTAGCCACCCCAAGTTCTCTGGTCCCTCTTTCTTGCAGTTCGAGCGATCCACTTGGCAACCGACGTCCGAGCTGCCTTACAGCTAGGAGCATCCAGATCGTGCACGATCAATTGGCGTCGTTTGTGGGAATATGATCGAAAAGCCAATCAATTCCCTGCTCTTTCATCCATTCAATGGCCTCTACAAGCAACACCGCAAAGAGCGTTGACATGACCACTTATGGGGAATAGGAACAGACCTCAGCTAACCAGGAGTTCCCCACGATCTGTATCGGCCAATTCACTATCCCCCTCACTGTTTCGGTGATCCCAACTATATAAACACAGTAGGCTCAGTACCAAACCCATCCACTGAGTGTTCCCCTACCCCAGGTAAGCACCACTTTCTTTGTGCCTGAACCCTCCATGGTCCTTCCTGGAGTCGGGCATCAACAGCTCGGCGAGCTGGTCCAGAATGTTCGAACCATGCAGCTGCAAATGCAACAAATGCACTAGTTCCAGCAATTCCAGCAGTACTACTTCTACCAACATCATCAACAGTAGTTCCCACCACTGCATTCCTAGCATCAATACCAGTATCAACACCGCCTCAGAATCAGAACCAAAACCAGTACTGAGCCCATAATCAGTACCGGCAGCATACACCCCCGCCTTCTCAAAGGAGAAACCCCAAAGACAGGCCCGAGGACAGCCAGCGTGCAAGGACCAGTCAGCAACAACACTCGTGGCCTGAGAATCGCAGGTTGCAGCTTGATGATAATTAGCTCGGAGTACGAGGTGCGGACTCGAGACGAGACCCTTCGGCTTCCCGTAACATCCAACACCGACCTTGCGACCGAGAAGAGGCCAGAGGAGGGAACCCTGTCCCACCTCGCGACAGTGTTCGGGAGTGAGAGCGGACTAGGGTTGAAATACCCGATCACACAAATGTCAACAACACCAACATGGAGCCAATAAAGAAGCAACAACAGCGACGTTGCAAGACTCGCCGATCTTCTGCCAGGAACAACCCGCCAACAAGAAACAGCCAGCCGCTAGAGCGAGGCTGGGAAAGGGGGGAAGTGAGCTCGATAGCAACCCTGATGCTTAAGGACTACTTGTAGCCTTGATGCCGAAGGATTTCAAGGTACCCCCATTAGAGAAGTATGATGGAAGTTTCGACCCCAACAACCATGTGGATGCATTCCAGTCTCAGATGCATCTTGCCGGAGCAGACGAAGCATGCATGTGTGTGGCCTTATCCACCACTACCTTCAAAGGATTAGCTAGGACGTGGTACAGAAGCATCGCGCCAGGCTCAATCAAAAGTTGGGCTCAGTTCATAGATACGTTCACTGCTCATTTCATCACTAGTAAGAAGTGCCCGAAGTCACAAGAGAGCCTTCTGAACGTGGTCCAGAGGGAGAATGAGTCGATCAGAAGCTACATCAAGCGCTTCAACGAAAAGTGTCTGTAGATGTCAGGGCTTGATCCAGCTCTGCGCCTCACTACAGTGTGGAAGGGAGTGAAGCATAAGGAGTTTGCGTGGTACCTTGGAGTACATTGTCCGAAAACTATTACGAAACTCCTTGTGATAGCTGAAAGTTCATGAGCACAGAAGAATCTCTCGGCCCAAAAACAGTGAAGAAGAAGAAGGAACAAGCAGCAACAAGCACAGGAAACAGAAGAGCAAGTCACCTCGCCAGAGAAATAAGTCCCCGTCTTGGAGTTACAGGTCGGGTTGGCGATCCAGAACCTATCCTGTGGAAAGAACGTCCTACACCCCCCTCTGTGCAAAGCGAGGAGAGATCCTGATGGCGATCAAGGATTCTTCATTCATCAAGTGGCCGCCCAG